GCTCACAAGGCGCAGTGATCATGCCAGGTGTGGACCAGGGTGGCTGGTCCGTGGTCACCTCAAGGCGAGCACGTGTCCAGGGGAGGTCTGCCTGGGGCCACCTGCCCAGTCACCTGTCCTCGGACGGGACGCCTCCCGCCTCTCTGAGCCTCCAGGCTGACTTGATGGTCCCTCCTCAGTACTGCCTGCCTCCCCAGTCTATGGAAGAAGACCGGGGCGGGGGAGCCTCCTGGGTCTCCCGGCCTCAGCTGGGGCCCATCTTGGGGTACAGGGGGAGGTGATGATGACGTGGAAGCCGAGCCCCGGCTCTGCCCTTGCTGGCTGTTTCAGGGAGGTCCAATTTCCTTCCTCTGTAAGATGGGGACCCGGATCAGTTATCTACTTCTGTGTGGCAAGTCGCTCCAGAACTTAGCGGCTTAAAGCAGGGGTCCCCACTCTCTGGGATTTAATGCCTGATGATCAGAGGTGGAGCTGATACTAGAAATGTAGTGCACAGTACATGTAATGAGCTCAAATCCTCCCAAAACCATCCCCGCTCCCAGCCCTGTCCCAGTCTAGGGAAAACTTCTCTTCCACGAAACTGGTCCGTGGTGCCAGAAAGGCCAGGGACCTCTGGCTTTAACGGGTCAGTCATTATATACTGTCTCCTGGTTTCCGTGGATCAGGAGCCCCCTAGCTGGTAGCTCTGGTCCGTGTCTCTCGTGAGGCTGCAGGCAGATGTCGGCAGGGGCTGCAGTTACCCGAAGGCCTGCCCGGGGCTGGAGGACTTGCCTCCCCAGGATGCCTCACGTGGCTGCCGGGCCTCCTCGCAGGCTGCTCCTGTGTCTGCACGGGCGGAACAAGTGATCCTGCCCTGGACGTCTCGCCCCTTCCCTTCCCTGGTATCTCGCAGGCCACCCGGGTCAGCCCCGTTGGAAGTGGAAGGGCATGCACACCGTGAGGCAAGAACCACCGGGGTCTGGGGACAGGTCTTGGAGGCTGCCTGCCAAATGCCACCACTTGTCTGCTGCCTTATCTGTGGACTGGGACCGCCTCCCAACCCCTGGGAGCCGTCAGGTGCTGCGAACAAGAGGCGCGGGGCAAAGCTGTAGGCCCGGAGCCTCGCACATACTAAGCGCTCACAGAGGACAGCCTCTCTTGGGGTACCACCGCCATCGGCTCCCACAAACGCTGGAGGGACCCCGACTGGTTGAGAGCCCTGCTGACCAGCGGGGGGCCAGGCGGGTCCCTTCTGTCCATGAATGGAAACGAGAAACAGGCATTGCCGGGTTTTTTTTTTTTCGTTTCCTCCTTCTTCTTAAGGTTTTAAACACCTAATTTATTCCATCCATTAGATAGATTTTGTAGATTTAATCATTTTCACAGTTGGTGGCTCATTGGATACTCAAGATAAACTCCAAATGAAAGTATAATGGTGAGGACAAATGAGTTTTCACACCACAATGGCAGAAACTTGCTTGGGAAGAGAGTTTAAGGGGAACAAAAATACATACAGATATCATTTTTTTCCCCCGGCAGCCGCTTTTGCTGACTATAGTAGGTTACCACAGTTAATTTCACCAGTTTTGTTCATCTGTAAAATTGCATAAAAGTGACATTTTTGTGCTCATTATAGCAACTGCTGATATATGGCTGGTAAATGAAGAACTGGGCCCTTTTTTGTGGGACTCTCCGAGCGGCGCTAAGTGCCCATGAAATTGCTTGTATAATGTAGTTTAAATCCAATCTCGGAGAAAGATTCCCCCGTTGGCCAAAGTGACATTTCCATTCTCCATACCGAGTTTATTTTAGGCCACTTGTGGGGGGTGGAGGCGGTTGCCCCAGGCAGGGTCAGGATGGGGGACCTGGGGTCAGCTCCAGCCGCCCTGCTCTCATCAGGGCCACAGGGATGGGTGGGTACTCTGTCACCAGCCTCCTCCTTCTCCGCTGCCCTGCCCAGCTCAGGGCAGAGGAGCACGGTCCTCCTGATACACGATCTTTCTGCCCTGCCCCTCCCCAGCCGAGAACCTTCCATGGACGCCGAGGCCTTAGCCCAGGGCTCCCGACACAGCACAGCTGACCCCGCATCCAGGCAGTTCCTTGTGGCCAGGTATCTGTCCTGGGCACCGCATCCCTGACCGGTACCCACGAGGGCCATAGGGCCCTCTCCCCACGTTAGGACGACAGAACTCGTCTGCGGACGACAGGGCCAGTGTGCCCTGGGGACAGAACCATCGGGAATTCCTGCCCCACGGTGAAGAGGCCCTGCTCGGGGCTGATGCCCCCCTGAGCGGCCCGGGGTGGCCTTTCCTCCCCGCACGCCTGCCCTGTGCTGCTGTTCCTGCTCTGGTTCAGCATTCCCACAGGGGCAGGCCGCCTCGCCTCTGCACCCTTGCCCATGTGACTTCTGCCTGGAATCCGTTCCTCTCCTCCTTCCTCACCCCTTCAGCCCTGCCCCAGCAGAGATGCTCTTCTCTTCCAGAAAGCTGTCTCTGGAGCTCCCGGGGGTGAGGCTCCCTGTGTCTCCCCATCATAGCACGCGGTTTGCTCAGATTGACTGTGAGTCCTCGGGGGGGTCTGCCTGCCAACGTGGGAGATGTGGGTTCGATCCCTGGGTCGGGAAGATCCCCTGGGAGAAGGGAATGGCAGCCCACTCCAATGTTCTTGCCTGGAGAGTCCCCTGGACATAAGAGCCTGGTGGGCTACAGTCCTTGGGGCCACAGAGAGTCAAGACACAATTTAGCGACTGAGCGCATATGCTCACATCTGGAGGGATTGGGGGTGAGGCTTGGGGAAGGTGGGATGTGGCGGGTGACATTCCCATTGGTGGGGAGGTGGTGGGGCTTGCACTCTGTCCCAGCCATGATGCCAGGCCCACCTGTGCACACACCTGCCCCTTCCTCTCCCGGGAAGATCCTGTTGTGCCAGGCAGATGGGGAGGGTCTAAACACGTGGAGAGACCCACTTCTGCTGAGGCTCCACCACCTGATTTGTTAAACCTCACAGTGGCCAGGGGAGGCAGTGTTAGCAGCAGCATAAACCCATTTTACAGGTGAGGAAACTGAGGCTCAGGGTGGTGAACCCCTCCCTCCCCTCCCTCAGGACTCACTGTTGGGCTCCAGGGGATGCCCTTGGCGGGGTGGGGGCGGGGGAGGCAGTGCGCCATGAAACCTTGTTGGGTCCTCCTCACCCAAGGGCCCAGCCAAGTCTCAGTCTCCCAGCACCTGCTGTCCGCTGCACCCCCAGGGGGCCCCTTGGCACAGACGTTCCCCGAGGCCACCCTACAGACCTGGCACAGTCATCCCCGTTCCATAGGTGGGGAAACTGAGGCCCAACCAGACCAACCACTTGTCCAGGACCACAGAGCCCCACAAGCAGGCAGGACCCCACCCAGGCTGCCAGCTCCAAAGCCCTGGGTCTCTCCACCCGCCTCCTGCAGGCCCCTCACCTCCCTCCCCACCCCAGAGAGGGCCTCAGACAGCACTGAGCAAGGTCTTGGGACCGGGAGGGACTCGGGGTGGGGGGGGGAGACGGGGGTCTACCCACCAGCCACCTGCTTCTCCCCACTGACAGTGGGGACAGCCGGTCTGTCACACAGAGGACGCCCTTGAGGGAATCCCCTAGTGGTCCACTGGTTAGGACTTGGCGCTTTCACTGCCAAGGGCCTGGGTTCAGTCCCTGGTCACGGAACTAAGACCCCACGTGCAGCACAGCATGGTCCAAAAAATAAATAAAAAATTTAAAAATAGAGTGCATCCTTCAGCTGAGAGGCTGATGGCCCAGATAAAAAGGCAAGGGCTCCCACACTAGTCTAGCAGGTGACAGGTGGTAGACCGGGGAGGGGACGGGCAGCCGTCAGGGCAGAACCCCCGCTCCCTGGCCGCCTGTTGGTTGAATGAGGGACCGTAAGCACCAGGACAAAAGCCAACAGTGGCAGCTCGCCCCGCGCCAGGCACGTGCTGGGCTGTTCACACAGCAACTCACGGAACCCTCCCTGAGGCTGCGGGTCGTCATCACCCCATTCTATAGACGAGGAAAGGGGGGCACTGGAGGAAGGAACACCCACGAGGGGTGTTACGATGAAAGATGGCGCCAGGAGGGTGGGGTGGAGGGGTGGAGCCCCCAGAACACCCAGTGTGGTGGTGGGGGTGGGGGGGTTATGTGCAGAGCCGGCAGGAGATGCGGGTTCGATCCCTGGGTCGGGAAGATCCCCTGGAGGAGGACATGGCAACCCACTCCAGTATTCCTGCCTGAGAAACTCCATGGACAGAGGAGCCTGGTGGGCTACAGTCCATGGGGTCACAAAGAGCCGGATATGACTGAGCCACTTAGCACGCACGCGCACACACCAGAAATGACCCAAACGCCACCAGCAGTAGGAAGGACGAGCAGAACGTGTCCTGCAGTCACACTGCAACACCCCTTGGCCACAGCTCCCCCATGAACCTAAAAAAGTAACCTTGAGTGGGACAGACGGGACAGTGTATGATCCCCGCTCACCTGTGCCGACACCAGGAGCAGTCAGGATTTCAGAGGGCCGTCCCCTTGGTTCCCTTGCTGTGGTTCCTGTCTGAGGGCGGGCATAGGGACTGCTTGGGGGACTGGCCACCGCCCCCCCCTTCCCCGACCTGAGTGCCACACAAGTGTGTTCCGTGTGTGAAAGTGCAGCAAGTCTGTGATGTGTGCAGTTTCCTTGATGTACTTTGCACTGTGATGCAAAGCTTAAAAATTTAGAAAGGAGTACTTTCCTGGAGGTCCAGTGCTTTAAGACTGTGCTTCCAGCTGCAGGATCCCTGGGTTCGATCCCTGGTCGGGGAACTAAGATTCCACATGCCACACTGGTACGGCCCAATTTTTTTGTTTTCTTTAATTAAAAAAATTTGAATGAATGAAGGAGCAAGTAAGGGGCTGGAAAAAGCAGAGGAGGGGCGGCTGGGGAGCCCTTCCAGGGAGCCATAGGGGGCGCGGCCTGCAGGCCGGCCCTCACCTGTGCGTCCTCCCCTCCCCATGTGCCCCTGCAGGCGAGACGGTGGCCAGCTCCATGCATTCCTCCCGCTACCCGAGCCCGGCCGAGCTCGACGCCTACGCCGAGAAGGTGGCCAACAGCCCGCTCTCCATCAAGATCTTCCCCACCAACATCCGCGTGCCCCAGCACAAGCACCTCAGCCGCACGGTCAACGGCTATGACACCAGCGGCCAGCGCTACAGCCCCTACCCGCCGCACACGGCCGGCTACCAGGGCCTGCTGGCCATCGTCAAGGCGGCCGTGTCCTCCTCCTCCGGCGCAGCCGCGCCCACCGGGCCCGCCAAGAGCGTGCTCAAGAGCGCCGAAGGCAAGCGGACTAAGCTGTCGCCGGCCGCCGTGCAGGTGGGCGTCGCGCCCTACCCGGCGCCCAGCACGCTGGGGCCCCTGGCCTACCCCAAGCCTTTGACGTTGGCCGGGGCCGCCAAGCCCGCGGGCTACGCGGACGGCGGCCTGGATTACCTGCTCTGGCCCCAGAAGCCGCCCCCGCCGCCGCCGCCCCCCCAGCCCCTGCGGGCCTACGGCGGCAGCGCGCTGGCCAGCAAGTCCCCCGAGGCCTGCGGGGGGCGGGCATACGAGCGGGCCAGCGGGTCGCCCCTCAACTGCGGCGTGGGGCTGCCCGCCAGCTTCACTGTGGGCCAGTACTTCGCCACTCCCTGGAACAGCGTGCTGGTGACCCCCACCAGCGACTGCTACAACCCCGCGGCTGCGGCGGCGGCGGCAGCAGCAGCGGCGGCGGCGGCCGGGACCGAGCTGGGGCCAGGGGTGGCCCGGGAGCTGGCGGGGCCCCCGGCCGAGACCCTCTCGGGCCTGCCCAGCAAGAGCGTGTGCAACACGGCCGTGCTCAGCAGCAGCCTGCAGTCGCTGGAGTATCTCATCAACGACATCCGGCCGCCCTGCATCAAGGAGCGCATGCTGGGCAAAGGCTACGAGACGGTGGCCGTGCCGCGGCTGCTCGACCACCAGCACGCCCACATCCGCCTGCCGGTCTACAGATAAGGGCGGCGGCACCCGCACCGACCGACGGGCCGAGGAGGCAGGGGTGGGCGGGGAGAGGCAGGCCGCAGAACAGGGTGGGCGGCACGCGGGGCGGTGGGGATGGGGACAGCCCGGCCCCGGGTCCGAGTGCCCCCCACCCCGATGTCCACAGGGAAGCCAGGCTGGCGGCCCGCCAGCTGCCGCCGATGGGGAGTTCGCCAGGTGACCTCTCGCTCGCCGACGCCCCTCCTCACCATCCGCTGCCCGGGCCCACCCCCCGGGGAGGCCTAGGGGCAGCCGCCCCCCAGGTCCATACCTCCCTCCATCCAAGCTGGCAGAGGCCGGGAGAGAAAAGAAGCGGTTCTTCCCGGCTGTCCAGGAGAGGGGCTCAGGCCTCAGTGGGGCACAGGAGGAAATGTGATGGTCTGGGGGCGGGGGTGGGATCGGAGCAGGCCCCTCTCCCCGGGCTTAACTCCTCCCTCTTGAGGTCCCAGTCTCCAGGAGAAAGAGCAGAGGGGGCCCACAGCGACCCCCCGCCCCCCCACTGCCTACTCCCAGTGAAGATCAGACTACAAGAGGCTCCAGAGAATGCTGGTCCACCTGCTCCTCCCCTTCTAGACCCTCCTGCCCTCCCCACCATGCCTTCCCCACACAGAATCCCATCTCCATTCTTCAAACCCTGGACCACCACCTTCCCCTTTCCCAACAGGACCTCTTATGGGGGGGCTGCCGGGCACAATTGTGCAGGTTGTGTCCTGCACAAGGGCAAACTCATCCAAGGAGACGTCATTTGCATCCTAGACGTGTATGTTTATGACGGCAAATTTTCTGAATCTCGAGGAAGGGGCAGCATTGATCTGTTCGCACAAAGGCGCCATAGGGGCTAACAGTGTCAGAGGGCTCAGACCCTGCTTCCTTCAGGGGTCCTCCCAGGAGCCAGTGCCAGGGCAACCTGCTGGTTTTAACTGGGAGATCCAATCCACCCCCTTTTCCTGAAGCCACCCTCCAAGGCCTGCCGCACACCACTTGGGAGGGGGGAATCAGGCAGGCATGGGGGAGCCCCCCATTAAGTCCCTAAGGCCCAATTTCCCCCAAGTCCTGGCCCCTCTGGCACTCTGGAAGCGGTACTGTATCTCTCTCCAAGGCCTGTTCAAGCACTAAGTGCATTTACGAATCTCTGAGAATGTTTTTTTTTATATACTAAAATTGACCATTATATTCTACTGTGAGAAGTACGGTCTGCACTATATTGTTTTAAAAACGAAGAGAAAGAAAAAAAAAGGAAAACACAGATGGTGTCTCAGCTGTGGGATTGTTTCGTTAAGCTCTTGTGTTTGTTCGTTCTTCCTTCCTCCACGGCCCCCAACCCTTCCCCCGCCAGGAGTAAATTGGGCTGTCTTCTTCCCCGACAGGGCTCAGAGCCCTGGGGAGCAGGACGGGAGTCTCCTGGCACCCCCTCTGCTGGGCCACTTTGTAGGTGATATTTCATTTGCTGCCCTAGGTCTTCTGACCCCGTTGACGTGTCAGCCACTCACCAGGGCCAGCGATCAGTCCATAGGGCAGCCGAGACAGAGCCGAGCCTGGGCCCCTCTGGCTCATTCCCTGAGGGGTACGGAGGTGGGCTGGGGTTGGTGCCCCCGGCGTCACTAAACTCCCTCCTCACTGCCTGGCACCCTCTGTGCTTCCCCGGAGGCAGTGTGACTTGGGGACAGGCCAAAGTGGCTGAGCAGTGGCCATCTCCCTGGCCAGCCCCAGCACATACCCACCCCGTTTCCCGGGGGCCTGGTGATGTCTAGGAGACCACCCTTGCCCCGGGATGCTCAGCGTGTATCAGGTGCTTACTGGGCATTCTCCTATACACAGCATCCCTTGGGAGCCTCGCCACTGCTTGTAAGGTGTGCTGTGCTAAGTCACTTCAGTGGTGTCTGTCTGTTGTGACCCCATGGTCTGTAGCCCGCCAGGCTCCTCTGTCCATGAGGATTCTCCAGGCAAGAATACTGGAGTGGATGGCCATGCCCTCCTCCAAGGGATCTTCCCCACCCCGGGATGATCCTGCGTCTCTTAAGCCGACTGCGTTGGCAGGCGGGCTCTTTACCACTAGCACCACCTGGGAAGGGAGCTTGTAAGGTAGGGGGTGTTCTATAGGAAGAAGCTGAGGCTCAGAGATGTGAAGTGATCTGCCTGAGGTCACACAGCAAGTCTGCAGAAAGTTGGGATTCAAACCCCATGGCATAGACTCTTATTCACATCCTGCCTCCCTGACCTGCTGGCCCAATGTCTGAACAGAGGGGATCAGGGGGTGTCCCCAGTCTCATTCAGGCCTGCCCGCTCATGCATGTAGCCCGTTTGGATGCATGGCAGGGTTTGGGGAAGAAGAGGGACAGAGGGGACACTCTGGATGTGACCTTGCAGTGGGGACATCCACCTCCCTAAGGCCAGGCCCCAGAGCCTGGTAGCACATGGAGGCTTCAAGAAGAGGCTGTGTCCAGGGCAGGACCCAGGCCCTTCTGAGCTGGGTCAGTGAGCCAGACTTGTCACCAGGGCCTGAAGGGCAGGAGAAGGGGTCTGGCTGGGTGACAGGTTGGGGAGCTATCGCTGCATGAAAGGCCACTGGTGGTGGTGGTTTTAGTCATTATGTCTGACTTTTTCAGACCCTGTGGACCATAGCTCACCAGGCTCCTCTGTCCATGGGATTTCCCAGGCAAGAATACTGGAGCGGGTTGCCATTTCCTTCTCCAGAGGATCTTCCTGAACCAGGGATCAAACCCATGTCTCCAGCATTGGCAGGTGGAGTCTACCACTGAGCCACCAAGGAGCCTTAAGGCGTGATCACAGACAGGATGCAAAGGAGCGTGGACCTCATGTAACCGAGTTTCACAACAGCCCTCAGGTCATAATAAGATCATCCCCATTTTACAGATGAGGACACAGAGGATCTGAAAAACAGTCACAAGGAGAATAAGAGGGAGGCGGGTTCTGGCATGAGGCCCCACACTTGGGGCCAGGCTGCCCCCAGACATTCTACCTTCATGCATCCCTGAAGCTCACCAGGGGCATCGCAGCACTATCCTGGAGGGAGCTAGCCTCTGGAGGGAGCATGCCCTGGGTACAAATCCATAGGTACTTTAAGTGACCCAGAACCAGTCCATCCCCAAAGAGGGCAACGCCAGAACCAGGGATGGAATTCAAGGAGACCACAGTGTGGGTACTTGGGAGAGGACAGAGCAGGTTCAGCACTGGGGGTGGGCCACCACTGTGGCCACCTCAGCACCAATTCTAGGTAGCCCAGGTCCTGGGCCCACCAGCAGGCCTGCCAAGCAAGGGGACAGAGACTGCAGCCACCGTCCAGGCCAGGTCCCTGACATCCGGGGTGAGGACCCGTCTCCTATCAGAGGAAAACCTCCTGTCCCCTCTGCAGGCCGAGTGAAGAAGCAAGCAGGTGGGGCCATGGAGCACAGCCAGTCTGGGCCTGACCCCAGGATCCAGCTGGGGTTCTCACTCCGTCCTAGCACCAGCTCCCTGGGTGCCTTGGCCCGGTTTCTTCTCCCTGGGAGCTGAGGGAGCTGAGCTCAAAGGGCCCTCCAGCCTCCTTAAAACCACATAGAGGAGCAGTGCAGGTGATAATGATGTCATCACTTCAATTACCGACAGCCCTGTTACTGCAGGCAGACAGGCCCCAAGGCTCCGCGCTAAGCAGTAGGTAGGTCTCGCCACAGTTCAGGTGTACGTGGTATATTTGAGGCCAACAGACCAGAGAAGGGCGATGACTTTGCCTAACGTCGCACAGTTGAGGATGGAGCTCAGAGAAGGGGGCGGCGCGGGGGCAGAACACCGGCCTTCTGATTCAGAATCGAAGCTCTTAACTGCTATGCAGACTAAAACCACCACCGACCCCGAACAAGGCTTGTGTGGCTCCAGAACGCAGGTCCAGTCTTGGTTCCTGCGCCTTGCGCTGCTGGGACCTCCTGTGGGTGCCGGAGACAGAGAGGAGCCGCCTGCTCCCCTACCAGGGCTGCCCGCCTTCCCTTTATAAGGACACTAGAAGCTTCTCCCTCTCTGGGTTGTTGTCTGGGCTTCATCCCTAGTTACAGCTGAGCTCTCTAGTTCCACAGCCATGCGCTGGAACCACGTATATTACTACCAGTTCCCATCATAACAACAGTTAGAAGATCACTCCATCTTCCAGAGGCCTCACATGCCGGGAGGGCTTCGGCAAACTTTAAGTGCGGGGGAGTCCATGGTGGGGACACTCACCTTTGCAGGGTGGCTCCATGTCTTCTGGTCTCATCCCAACCTTTAGGTTCTGCCCCTATTTCCATCCCCGCCTGGCTTCCAAGCAGCGACTTCGACCTCTCCGCAGCGCTGAGCTGCACCTGGGACTCCACGTGCCCTGCGCCCGGGTTGCCCCTACCTGCGCTGTAGTGCGCATGCGCGTCCCGGGAGTCTTTAAAGGGCCCACGCAGTCGCCACCGGGTCCCCATCGCTGGCCATTGGAAGGTGGGGCCCAGCTACGGTGGGTGGGCAAGCCCGGGGGAACAAAAGGTTTTTTTGTTTAAATCACCACTTGCTCACCAGAGAGTGGCAAGGGGAGAGGAGGAGGCAGGAGGCAGGACTCAGTGTGTGGCCCTGGGCCTCGGTCAGGAGTGGTGCTGGCATTTGAAGGGCTGTGACAGCATCAGGTGATGAGTGACCAGGAGGACAGGGCAAATTGGTGCTGTAAGTGGGACCCACCCCCCTACCCCTCCACCAGAGCAGTGGGGCCCAGGGGTTCCAGTCCTGAGGCTGCCTCCCACCAGCATGTGGCCTTTGGCGAGTGACTGCCTCTCTTTGAGCCACCTGTTTCTCAAGTGTAAAGTGAGACTGCTATTACAAAGCATGTGCCACATGGGGCTGAACAGGGGGAAAGGGTCGTCAAGTCCGTGGGGCTTCCCTGGCGGCTCAGTGGTAAAGAATCTGCTTGCAATGCAGGAGACCTGGGTTCAATCCCTGGCTCAGGAAGAGGCCTGGAAGAGGGTATGGCAACCCCCTCC